GTCCGGCAGCCTCCGGAGCGCGGAAAGGCGGGGCCGGTCCCTCTGGCTGCCCGCGCCTCCGCCCCTCGGACCCGGCTGCCGGAGCGGGGTGCCCAGCGCGCGGGCGCACGACGGCCAGAGCGCCGAGGCTGTACCTGCAGCCCAGCAATGAAGAGAGTCCAGGAGAATCCACTGGAGCTGGCGGAGACGTTTCCTGCGCCTGGGGTTGCTGCTGCCGCCGCGGCTGCTTAAAACTCCCAAAGTTGAGAGCTAGCGAGAGGCTGCCGCCCGCCGGGAGCCAGAGGGAAAGGAACTCGGAAGATGCAAGAGTGACAGCCAGAGACAGAACAGACGCACAAACCTTCGGAAGACACCACCGTCGGCGGCCTATCCCCAGAGCCCTTAAGGCTCCTCAGCTCTGTGAGTTGTGTTCTGGGCTGGTGGCTTGCTAAGTATTTCCGTTTAATTGTTTATAGCATGCATTTGTGTATTTATTTTTTTTATTTTTTATTTTTTATTTTTGTCAATAGGAGAGAATTAAAAAAAAAACAAAGCAGGATGCACCTTTAAAAAATATTGAGTTTCTGATATTGAGACGGTTGTATTGATAGACTGTGGCTGTGGATATCTGCAAGCAGGATTAATCCAAGAAAGATTGTATTTAACAGTAAAAAGGCTACGTAGGTTCCCAGGGTGCAATAAAACCTCCATTTCCAAAGTTACTGGAAAGAAAGCAAGGTGTGCCTCTTAAGGGTTAACTGGTGGTAGTTAACTTTGCTTGTTTTACCACTCTTTAAATATTGATTGTTTACCAGGTTCACTGGTGGAAGGCTGAGCTGGTGGCAAAGGCGCCTGGAAGAGACTTAGAGGCGACCATAATGTCTTTGCGTTTACACACACTGCTCACCCTGCCTGGAGTTGTCAGACCCGGCTGCAGGGAACTGCTGTGTTTGTTGGTTATTACAGTGACTGTGAGCCCTGCTGCCTCCGGGGTGTGCCCCACAGCTTGCATCTGTGCCACTGACATCGTGAGCTGCACCAACAAAAACCTGTCCAAGGTGCCTGGGAACCTTTTCAGACTGATTAAGAGACTGGATCTGAGTTACAACAGAATTGGGCTTCTGGATTCTGAGTGGATTCCAGTATCGTTTGGAAAGCTGAACACCCTAATTATTCGTCATAACAACATCACCAGCATTTCCATGGGCAGTTTTTCCACAACTCCAAATTTGAAGTGTCTTGACTTATCATCCAATAAGCTTAAGACCGTGAAAAGTGCAGTGTTCCAAGAGTTGAAGGTTCTGGAAGTGCTCCTACTTTATAACAATCACATTTCCTATCTCGATCCTTCAGCGTTTGGAGGTCTCTCCCAATTGCAAAAACTCTACTTAAGTGGAAACTTTCTCACGCAGTTTCCCATGGATTTGTATGTAGGAAGGTTCAAACTGACAGAACTGATGTTTCTAGACGTTTCTTATAACCGGATGCCCTCCCTGCCAATGCACCATATAAATTTAGTGCCAGGAAAGCAGCTGAGAGGCATCTACCTTCATGGAAACCCATTTGTCTGTGACTGTTCCCTTAACTCGTTGCTGATCTTTTGGTATCGTAGACACTTTAGCTCAGTGATGGATTTTAAGAATGACTATACCTGTCGCCTGTGGTCTGACTCTACGCACTCCCATCAGGTGCTTCTGCTCCAGGATAGCTTTATGAATTGCTCTGACAGTATCATCAATGGCTCCTTTCGTGCACTTGGCTTTATTCATGAGGCTCAAGTCGGGGAAAGGCTGATTGTTCACTGTGACAGCAAGACTGGTCATTCAAATACTGATTTCATGTGGGTCAGTCCAGATAACAGACTGCTGGAGCCGGACAAAGAAGTGGAAAACTTTCATGTGTTTCGCAATGGAAGCCTGCTTATAGAAAGCCCTCGTTTTGAGGATGCTGGAGTGTATTCCTGTATTGCAATGAATAGGCAACGCCTGTTAAATGAAACTGTGGATGTCACAATAAATGTGAGCAATTTCACTGTAAACAGATCCCATGCCCATGAAGCATTTAACACAGCTTTTACCACTCTTGCCGCCTGTGTGGCCAGCATCGTTTTGGTACTTTTGTACCTGTATCTGACACCGTGTCCCTGCAGGTGTAAAGCCAAGAGACAAAAAAATATGCTAAACCAAAGCAATGCCCATTCATCTATTCTCAATCCCGGCCCAGCTAGTGATGCCCCCGCTGATGAACGCAAGGCAGGTGCAGGTAAAAGAGTGGTGTTTTTGGAACCCCTGAAGGATACCGCAGCAGGGCAGAATGGGAAAGTCAGGCTCTTTCCCAGTGAAACGGTTATAGCTGAGGGCATCTTAAAGTCCACGAGGGTGAAATCTGACTCAGATTCTGTCAATTCAGTGTTTTCAGACACACCCTTTGTGGCGTCCACTTAGTTTTGTGCCTGCATTTCTATTATCTTTACCTTTGTGTGTGGTCTACAAAAGAAACATCAGGACAGAAATGGTTTTTGGTTTTTGAAATACAACCAAATGGTCTCTAAAAGGTTGTTAGGAAACGTAGTATAGCCCTTTGGTTCCTCAATGTGCCAGAGAAAGATGGGGTTGTTCTCCAGAGTTAAAGTTCTAGATAATGATAGCTAGTCTTTAGCACCACTGATCATTTCAAAGCTGGCCTAGAGGTGATTTAACTGACATTGTCTTTTTATTCTGGATTCTTGAAAGAAAAATTAAATTTTGTGTATTGGTGTTCTTTAAAAAGAGAGTTTACTAACTTATTAGGACAAAAGTTATTTTCAAGAAAAGCATCAGTGTCCTATTTCATTTGGAAGAACCAAACAGCAATTATTTATAAAGCCTAAAATAAAGTTAGATTTGGGACTAATTCAGCTAAATTCATCATTTCAGACCAGAGTAAACAGACTTCACTGATAAAATTTACTTAGTAGTGCTGCGTCCCTCATCATGTTAGATAAATAGTGCAATAAAGGTACATTTGTTTGACCATCTTTTCATGCTGTAAATTTCCTATCCTTGAAAAGATCTTATTGAAAGTTTAAAGTCATCATTATTTGTTGCCATAAATATGTGGATGTCAATACCAAAATGTCTTCTTAAAGCTTTGTTCTAGTAGACTAATATTTGTTCATATGCTAGTGTGTATGTAACTCTTAAATTATATGAACTATTAAATTGTGCTTTGAACATATGACATAATGTATGTATTCTATGACTTGATGCTTTGTTTTATTTGGCTATTTAAAAACATAAATCTAAGATGTTATATGTGATCAGATCTTTCTACTTTGTGTAAAGCACTGGCTATAGCAAATATCTCTCCAGAGTTCTTGGAGTTACAGTATAGTTTATTTTTTTTTAAGGGTAAAAAAAGCTCTAAAGTGTTTTACACCAATTTATACCTTCTATATCACATTTTACTCTGATACCATTATGCACTTCAACCAGCTTTGGAAGATATGTAATCTCCAGTTTTGTAACATGTGAGAACCCAGGAGACTTGCTTCTTATACTCATATCTGCTATGAGGAATCGAGTACTCACTCTAGAACTAGGTTTTCTTCAGCTATAAAATGAAAGTTTCAGACAGGGTGATGTATAAGGTTCCTTCCCACACTGGAAGTGATAACTTCCCGGTGGTCTTAGCTCTATCACAGACTTGCACTGGCTCTCTGAAACTGTACTACATACCAGTGGCATATAGAAATGGGATTAGGTTAGACTAGCATATCACTGCATAGCCCGAAAGGACATTTTGGATCATGAAGTCCAGCAATTTCCCTTTCTCAGGAACCATTTGAAGCCCAGAGAGGGTTGTGTGTTGTGAATAAATGAGTGGGATAGAAGGAGAGAGTCAAAGAATGCCATTTTTCTTGGTGAAGGTAAGAGAGTCAAAGAATGTCATTTTTAATAGTGGGCATAGAGAAAGAGCCAAAGAATGAGACAACAGAGTGGTCAGAAAATATCAAAGGAGAATCAGGGTTATGTTGCCCCTAGTGAAAAGAGAAGAGAATTTAAACAAAAAAAAAAAATGGAAGTGAGCAACAGTGGCAAATGCTACAGAGAAGTAGATGAGGAGGGAAGACTGCCTTTGTCTATGGTGGTTTTGGGGGAACGGTGGACACCTGGTAACAGCTGAATAAGCGCCAAGCCGGGCTCCCAGTGGCAGACACTGGTCTGCAGGAGATTATGGAGTGAGCGAGTGGCCAGGATGTGTCTCTTAGAGAATAGAATGCAGAGCCACTGCTCAGTAGCTTTGAAAGTTTCTTATTGCATGGTATTAAAAAAATTACTACCTCTGCCTTTTAAACCCAGACCTCTCCCATTATATAAGATCCTTCAGACCCAAATATGTTACAGGCAAACATTTTATTCCAGTTACTGCCATTTATGTAATTAACAAGAATTCTGTGATTTGTATGACCTTTGAAATCATCCCTCCTTCCTCCTCCTTCAGAAGTTTCTGAACTTCCTCTAGGAAGTTTCCTAGAGAAACTCAGACTCAGAGATGCTGTGATTTGTTCAGCTTCATACAGCTGATTTGGACACAAGGAAAAACTGTTAAACCGCTGATACTCTCCAACAAAAGGAAAGGCTGTGTCCTGGGGCCATGATGACCCTGTCTTGGGGGGTGCAAAGAGTAGGGCCCATATGAAGGCAGACAGAGATGTTGCAGAGTGGATCTCTGAATTGAACCTTTTCTGGGCAGGATCTCGAAAATCCTTCAGTCCTCAAACCCTTGATCCTAGGAAATGCATGTTGCATTTGGTGGGGGAACATGGACAGTGCTAGGAGTGGGGAGTTTGTAGAGCCTTATCTTGGCTGGTCCTAATACTCCTTGGGTAAAGGACAGGCTGAACTGAGATCAAAACTAAAATAAAGCAAAAGAAAATTTTTTAAAAAATGCTGAATATTGAAAAGAAAGGTGAATTTTGAGCAAAAGTTGAAAGGCGTTATGAAAAAGCATGAAAACTGAATATTATTATGCGAAATTACAGGAACAAAACTAATTTGTGCTTTATAAATTTGTCTCACTCAAAACTTTTATGTAATTTTTCTTCCAAATAATAATCTGGATTTATGTAACTGGATTATTCTTTTAAACTACTTAGTATTTTTTATTTCATGGTTCTAAGAGAGGTGGCTACTCTGGAGAAACCAAGCAAAGATCACAGATGTGAAATTTTCCTGGGCTTAGAGTATTTTTTCACTTTAATTAGAAGATACTAGTTTGTGATAATATACTCTAATTAATCATGAGGTAAATTTTTTAAATATAAGATTGATAATCTGAAAATAGCCTAAAACATTTTCTTATTTATAGTTAACTTCTAAATTAATCCTCATTAGCTGGGAGAGATTTAAATATATTTATTTTTAGCTTTAATTGTTTGATTTTTTTTTTTGCCCGGAAAAAAAAGTTTTTTGATTTTTATAAAATGTTAATCAGGAGGGATGTAGATGAAACTTATGGGGGTGGAAACATAAGAGAGACAAGAAGACACACTGTCAGTCCAAATTCTAAAAAGACATCTGATTTGGATCATCCCGCTAAGCGCTGTTAAAACAGGTTACAGACTAACGATCATAGCTTTTCCACTGCCATAACTGCTGGTTGGTTATCATCACCTTTCAGTGTGATCTGGTTTACCTAGTGATCTAGCAATCGGTCTAAAACCAAGAAAAGTTAGATAAGCAAGGGTTTTTAGCAGATATCCTCCCTCCTTAACCAGAGATCTACTTCAGACGGTCTTGGGTAAGGCTTGCATATCATAATTTAAAAAAAAATTTCCATGTTATTCTGATTCTGCCTATTTTGATGAAATCCATCCAAAAATGAGACTGTGGCAAATTCTGTGTTTAGACTATGTCAAAATACATTATTATTACTTGCTACTGGATTTATTAGTGAAAAGAAGAATCTTGGTGCTCTTAAAAATTCTAATATGTTGTAAAAACAAATGAGTTTGATTCTCTGACACTAAATGAACTCTAAACTGTTGGCTGTAAGTTATGATTTATGTTTTTCTAAGTTATGAAATACAGAGTTATGGTTTAAAATGACTAAATCTCTGATTATTTTTGGTTGAAAAGCAACTACAACAGCCTTGGAGCTTTCAAATTTGATTAGATCATAATAAAGCGAGGACATTTTCCAAGGATGTTTGAGTGCAGATTTTATTTACTGAGAACCAAATTCCTTTGTTTTTTCAATATATGAGAATAATGAGAGTGATAAGATTTTTTTTTTCATGGTTCCCTCATCCTTCTCCGCCAAAAAGCCAGCCCCCAAAGCCATAATTGTTATTTTTTTACACTATGAAAGTTAGTGCAAAAAGGTGATGACTTGTCGGCCCCTGCAAGTATTATTGCATGGCAATGTATAAAAAGTGGAACTAAAAACTCATACAATAACCTCCTGAATAATTGAGAGGACTGCTTACAGGACCATTGTTGCCTGTGGGTAGATTCCAGGAAGGGCAGTATTTACAGCGAGGAGCAGAGTCAGCAGCGTATAGAAAAACAGGCCCTTTTGTAAACTATAAAATTTGATATCTATGGCATTTATCTGGGCTTTAATTTAGTAAGTACCTACTTAGTGTCAAGCACACTGTGAGAGGTGGTGTTTATTTACTATCATTTCTCATCACAGCAGCCCTGAAAGATGGTCTTACCCCTAGTTACAGATAGGAAAAAGAGGCTCAAAAGGGAGAAATAATTTTCTTGAGTGACTCAGCTAATAAGCAGTGGTTAATCTTAATAATCATTTAAAAAAATATCTCTGCACAGTATTCTTAGGGGTGTTCTACCAATAGAATGACTTTGTAAAGCATGAGTCGTAAATAAACTTTCCATAAATGTCAGAGTATGAATAAATGAATGCTCAGCAAATCTGGGAGAAGAAGAGAAGGTCAGGGGATCATAAGTCATTCAAGCATATAAAGGTGGAAATTATTACTTTTTCCACTGTAAAACACAGTGTGTTTTACAATTAGCAGAATTGGAGATTTGAGAATTGAGATTTAATAGACCAGGCCTCTTCCAGCATACTGGCTCTTCTTAGTCTGGTTGCCCCTCACACATGAAATTGCTTAATATGCAAAATAAATATCTGCCTTATAATCATGAGCTACACATTCAAGATACGTAAATGAATAAATTCAATATTTTTTAAAATTAAAAATGACCTAAATTTATAGGGTAAATAGTTCTATTGGAGGGGGTCTCTAATAATTTGTTTTACATTTCTAGAAGAGTGGTAGGTGCAATGCAGGCCCCAGGGGGGATTTTCCAACTAATTTTAAAGTTAAATTTCTCAAAATAATTTTAAAATTATTTCACAAGGCAGCCTCACTAGCTTACCTGATTGAACTTCTCTATTTGATAATATGTCAGCAGAGTAGCAAATATCATATTCCCAGGAAATTTCGTAGTGTCTATAGGATCTTAGTGTCATAGAGTCAAGTATCATAGGATCAAGGGTCAAACCCCTGGCAATGAATAGCCATTGGTAACCAAGAAAAGATTATTGAGCTTCGCTAAGATACTGTGGAAGCCATAAACGTTGTATAATAACCACTCTCTCTCCTTAAAGGAGTTTACAGCATGACTGAGAGATGAAATAAGTAAACCTAAAACAATTCAAGAGTAAAAATTGATTTGTCTACTAGTGACTATCCTGACAAATAGGAAGTGAGACGAAGAAGGAAATTGACAGAGACCTTGCTTTAACCAACGAGGCTAATGGCACAGGCTTGGATACTAGATAGCCATCTCATAGATACCCCGAATGCTGCATTAGCTGGGATCCTTACTTGCAGGAAGCTGTTATCTATAAAGAGGCGGTACAAGCTCGTTAATAGTGCTCTGATAGCAATATCAAGAATGCTATTTATAATGCTACTGCTGATCAATCATTTGTGATCAAATCTAGAGGAGAAAGGGACCTTAAAATTTCACAGTGATCCTCTATCTACATTCACAGCCAGAAAACTCGCCTCCATCACAGTTAGGATGAAGACTTCTGAATGTGTCCTAGCCACGTCATGAGAAATGAGAACAACAACAATAACAACAACAATATTTTTATATGTAAGCTCTATGCTTTATTTTTTCTCATTCCTATGAGGCAGTTATTATTTTTACATCCGTTTTACAGATGGGAGAACTGGGCCATAGGAATGTTAAGTGATTTGCCCAAAGAATATGTAGAAAAAGAGTCAGGCTTTGAATCCAGTTTTGTCTGGATACATCAAAACCCAGTCTCTTG